CAGATTTCAGTTTTTAGAACATCTGTGGAATTCAATCCCCATCGCATGTGTCTGTGTGAATCAGCATTTGAGTGTATCTGGGTGCATATCTCATGTCAGCGAGTGTGTTATTAAGTTACCAGAAAGTGTTAGAGGGCTAGGTCTCCTTGAGTACAATAGAAGCCATGGGGGAGATTGATGACTCATAGGATCTCAGGAGACAGAGCGGACGCACAGATCTGTGAGGAGACATGGACATTGGTGAAGGCTACAGATGGCGCCGCTCTGAAAAGGCTTCGAACGCGGGGTATAAACCTCCCACAGGGAAATGTATGGATGTCACCGCAAGACTCTAATTCGGTTGACATTGGTGTGTCCTATCTAGGAAGAGTCACTTTGGAACATAAAAGCATCTAATCTTAAAGGTATATGGTGCTTCACCGGCTTAGGCTGAAACTAATCTGGAGAAAAGAGGACAGTATGTACTGAATGTACAGTACAATGAACAGTAACTGACATATAAGTGCATGCTGTTCTTTAGTCTCAGAGGTCAGCAGTGTTGAGTCCAGATGTGTTCATCTCAGGTCTTCAAACAATCATGTCAGCGCGCGCAGTACAAGGCTGCTGCTTTGCAGGGGGTGAGAACAGTTTTCCAACAATAACACCTTGGGAAAAAAATCCACAGGGGTTGAGCGTTAGAGAAAGAGACAGAAAAACACACAGGGTGAGAGAGGGAGAGAAAATGTACATGTATTTCAAACCTTAAACATTAGAACAAATAATAATAAAAAAAGATAATGTCCTGGAGTCTATTGTTCTCATTCCTGTGATGACTTCTTCCCCTTGTTGCTATTGGTGTCCCAGATCTTCAGAAAAAATAAATAAATAAAATGAAACACCCATAACCCAAGAGAAAGCTTTCTGTCTTATAACCTCAAAGCCAAAGCTTTTAGGTGTGTCTTTATGTTTAAATAGGTCAGGTTGTTTGGCCGACCTGATTGAGGGAAATGTCTCTTGAAAACCAGCTGAAAGAACGAAACAAAAGACAGAAACTGCTAGAGGTGGGATTCCTCTGAGCACAGTGTGTGTGTGCGTGTGTGTGTTTGTTTGAGCATGCGTATTTCAGTAAAGATCAAATTCTTCCAGTGAGGAATCTGTCCACTTGTTATTGTATCTAAACCTGGTGCCACAGTTTCTGCAGGTCACTCTTTTCCCTTTATAATCAGCACACAAACGGGGGGCCTAATTACATTATGATTGTTACCCTGTCACGTAACATGAAATCTAAGGAGTCAGAATGAAACTGAGACAGAAGGACAGAGGAGAGGAAAAAGGTGTTCAGGGATGCCGGACTTGAAAATCCAGAGCAAAGATGGAGGATAGAGCAGGGATTGTTCGGGGACACACACCTGCACCACAGCTTTGAAGAGGAGATGAAAGCACGTCCTCTAATTACAGCACTTTCGAACAACACACATATCACTACTTTACTCCTCTGGCCTGAGGTGTGGGGAGTAAAAAACTACTCTCACTCTCCCCCTCTTTTATTTGTCATATCTCACATTACTGCCACCCTTGTGAGAAGTGATCCTTAAATTTGTGTTGTTCTGCTGTGCGATGAAGCGCGTACTGTATCTCAGCTTTGCTCCTGCGTGCGGTTAGTTGGTGAAATGTTCCTCCGAATCTGAGTTTCGCCTAACAGGCTGGGACAGGAGAGGATAGGGGCAGTGAGGCTCTTCTTTTCTTTTAGCACAATGCCTCTGACTGCTTTGTTTTTGCCTTAAACACATTTTAATAGATTCAATGGATTCATGAACTGTGTGCAGTCATGTTTAATGAAATGCCAGTGTGATAGAAGTAATTAGACGGCTGCATATTATTGTGAATATCTGCATTTATCACAATAAAGGGAGGGGACGGGAGGAGGACCATACAAGATCTCTCAATCAAATTCAGTCTTATTCTCAATCTGAGCAGAACTGATGCAACACTGCTTTCCAATGATGCATGTATAAGGACCCAAATGCTTCTGTATCCCCCAAACACCGAACTCTAGAAATCCCCAATCCCCAAACTCGTGCCATTTTCCACCGGCACAACGTAACAAGGCATAAGAGTTTCATCTTTTATTCACAAGAGCACTCATGATGAATTCAACAGACATTATCTAAGAGCTTGTAAATTAGATAGCATGTAAATCTCAATCTAAGCTGATATGTTGTTACCTGAAGTGTTCTGAAATGTCTTTTAAATGCCAGGAATAAGTCTATTAATATGAGAGTAGTCGGCTCTGTATGGCCTTGTTGAAATCAGTGAGCAGCAACAGATGGGAAGCTGCTACACCTAGTGGATTTACAACAGAACCACAAGACCTTTAGGTTAGGGAACAAGGGTTATGCACTGACATGCTGATTATGTTTCTTTCAAATCTAGCTACGAGTATATGAATAGAAAATGTATGAATTCTTAATTGGATAGAACTGACCAGTAACAATAAAATGACATAATGGTGAAAATAAATGTAAAAAGCAGATGTTTTTCTCAGTTGCTGCATTCCTCCTGTCCATCCATACTGGCCCTGAAGAGATCACCTCCTAAAGAATAATGAAATGAATGATGAAAATGAATAAAATTGGAGAGACATTCCTGCAATAAAGCAAATTCCATTCATTTTAATACAAAATTCCCTCTTTAAGTTGGAGCAAGAAAACACTGTCCAGGCAAACACAAAGAAGGAATTTGGTACTAAAACTGTGGAGATGAACTTGATTTATCTAATTCAGCTTTTGCACAGATTGAGCACTGTGGTTTTTGTCCGCATCTTCATTGGAATCACATCAGGAAGGAATCTTGGGAAGGAATCTATCCGATATGAGTTCCTATTTGAAGCCTTCTCTTGGCCGAGGATATACAGCTTGCATGACTTGAACCCCCATTACTCCTGCCTGTGAAACTCAGATTAGCTCAGTCAGTATTTAAATAATTTCTCAGAGCACATTTCCATAAAAATAATGTTATTCTTTGTCAAATTTGCATATTTTGCTGATTTGTATTCTTTTTGCGTGTTTTTATAATTATGTATAATCATTATAAGACCCAGCCTTTCTTTTTCTTTATCAGAGGTCAGAGGCTCCACACTGGGCTGTGATCATTTCTCCCACAAAGGTTTCACATTGAAAACATACGAAACTGGAGACTGGGGTTATTGGGCAATCAAAGCCATTAAAGACCTCACTATCAGCCTAATGCCAAGTTAATTTCAAAATGGAGGGAAGCAAATGGACTGTGAAATATGTGCTAATGGTAACAAGCTTTTCCCAAGTTTACAGAAGGGGAGAGGAAGAGAGAGAGACCAAATAATGCCCTGTGCTGTTATCACCGAGTCTACACATATAATTTCACAGACTTTTGGCGTCAGAATTCAGTGACAAGGACAATTAAACCGGGACTGCAAAGGGACAGCCTTGTATATAATGCTGTGTTACAAAGTTCACAGAGGGAGAGTTCATTTAAAGTATACAGTTTAAAAATACAGCTCACATCAAACAAATAAATGTCAACCTCTGTGATATCCAAGAGCAATATGAAAACACATGTTTGCAATTAAGACAATGTGAGATGTGCTATTTGCAGAAAACATTAGTTTTAAAACATAATTTCACATCTTTAGAGGAAATTTGGCTGGATAAATATTCATTAAAGAGTCCAACACCTCCTCACTTAGGCCACCCAGTTGAACATCCACCCATACGTATTGTGGATCCTAACTTTTTACTCTCCATACAAGGCAGGTGCAGACAGACACTGTATTAAACCGTCCTTTAAATCTGCAGTGTAAAGTGCTGAAGCAGATTAGTAAGCTAAATAGTTTAGTGGTTTGACTAATATGTTGTGGTTTGCCGCAATGCCGCCCACAGCTTCCTTACTACAAAGGTTCATTAATGAACACAGAAACTCAGCAAAAAGAGTCAATTTAGTTTGAGCTGTAATGTGTAGGTGGTTCCCCTTGAAGAAAATTATGTTTTATTGTCCAAAGCTGCATTGGAACATTTTTCATTAAATTCAGCTTAAGAATATAATCACAACAACTCCATCTACATTAAATACACGTTGAGTGTTTAAGATTGCACTGAGAAAACTGTCGTTAGGCCTCAAAATGATTTACTGTTATTATGGAATGATAATGTGAAACACAAATGGGTTTATTTATAAATTAGTATGGCTCAGCACACTCTAAACTAAAAATAAAAATAAAATAGTGCATATTTTCTTAAGCAATAAATCCAAACTAGAGCAGACTAAGCAGAAAAAAGCAACCAGTCTGCACAGCACTAAACCATTTATGATCATGCTAAAATCAAGTGTGCTGTATTGGTCTTCTTCAGAGAATGTTTTTTGAATGTCACAGTAGTAAAACAACATGTGTAAATAATAAAATTGATGTCACAAAGTCATGGTTTCTTACCACTACTAGCAACACTGTAATGTCTGCTGTGAAAACAATAAGCTCACGGAAAATGATGCTGGGGGTAGCTGCAATCCCAAAGGTGATCCATAACGCTAAATGTCAACAAGAAATCAATCTGGTGGCGCTCAGAGCTGTGAGAGAGGGGAGACCTCGAAATATCAGCCCCTTCTCTAGGACTGCAGATACAACACATATCAAGCATGTTTGTTTGAGATCTGCTTCAATAGGCTTCCCGGCGCCATCAGTGTGGCGATTTCTAACTGCTCTGAGCATTTGTGGAAAAGAAAAAACAACAAAATAACTCGCAACAACAGAGAGCATCTTGATGGATGTGGAGTACACAATAGGAGGCGGCTGGAAGTCAGACGGATCTGAAACAGTCATTAAAGGTTGTGTATCACTAGACAACTGAGCAAGGTTTGTGTTGGTGAGGGTAAGTGAGCAGATCAACCACTATGCATGCATTCCACAAAGAGAACAAAACAGAGAGTTAACTAAAAGCTTTAATGTCAAACACATAAAATATTAACATTTAAAAATATGCATCATGGTATAAATGAATCTGAGGGCTATCATAAATAAATGTGTGTCCTTCGGGAATGCTTTGGCTCTTCAGAAAATATGCGCTTCACCAGGACAAAATGTCTCCCTGCAAATTCAACTAACGTAAAAAATAATATTCCCAATGCTGGAATCTTTGAGGAAATACAAGAGTAAAAACAAATAAACAAGGCTACAATTAATGGTATGCAGACCAATAATCAAATACACATGGTCTGATCAATACTCCATTCATTATCAGTGGCCGATGCTGAATAAGCGAAGCAAAGAAGGCTCTTCGAGACTGCTGTATTCTTGTCCTTCCATAGAGGCCCTTGAGAAAAATATAAGGACATTTAGAAATTCTCCTTGAAGATCATGAAGCTACAGCTCCTCTTCAGGTCCCTAATCAAGTCTTTTATAAACGGTGCATGACTTCATACCAGAGTCATCCTCTTCTTTGTTGTTTTACACGCATCCGGATCCACAGCATTTTGTCCGTAAAGTGCTGCTTCCTCTCAGGAGAGGTGGAACAGGCTGTGCCCGACCTGCGAGGCATACATGGCCAGATGTGCAGCAGGGAGGACGGGGCTGCGGCCGAATGAGCAGCCCAGTCCGTAGAGTGCTGCTGATCCAGCCTGCAGGTTAACACTGAGGGGAAAACTGAAGGATGAGAAGCCTGGGTGGAACACAGCTTTGGGCCCGATGCCAGCCGCTATTTTGAGTTTCTCCACCTCGGCCTCCTGAAGCCTCTTGGCTTTGGCTCGCCGGTTTTGAAACCAGATTTTGACCTGCGTCTCGGACAGCGACAGCGAGGAGGAGAACTCGGCTCGCTCTGCGATGGACAGGTACTGCTTGTGACGAAACTTTCTCTCCAGGGCCAGGAGCTGCGTGGTTGTGAAGGGGGTGCGAGGCTTGCGGTTGGTTTTGTGCTTCCTCAAGGGGCAGACTGCTGGACTGAACTGCCCTGGAGACGACAGAAAAGTGTGAGGTGGAGTTAGATAAACAGTTATCGATTGTTCAGTCAGATTGATTGAATTTTAATTTAAATTGTGATTCATTTATCAAGCACAAATGCTAAACCTGCCCTGATTGCAGCTATTTTCAATCATATATCAAAGTAAACTGATTATAATTGGGTTTTGGACTAGCTGATCATCACCTTAACCTCTGATGAATGGTGATACTTATCATTATTTTAGACTTAATGATTAATCCATCAATTATAAAATAATCTGATTAAAAACAGATTATTATATAAAAAGAGATCATCAGGTAAAGCCCTAAACAGCCCATAAAAAACATTTTATAAAATCGTTTATTACTCTGCCTTTCATATGTGTATTCCTTTAAAACAATGACTGAACTTGTAAATGTATTTATATATTTATTATACTTGTTAGACTGGATCCCTCTTTGGCTCATTTAAGCCACCCAAAGACGTAAAACGATTATATAATCAACCCGCATTAATACATCTTTCAAACATTAGGATCACTTACGGGGTGGTGTTGACATCTTAATGGGGCCGGGTATCCAGGACGCACAGCCCCCTCGTTCCGCTGGCTCTGATTTGATGGATACTAACTGTTGGGTGAACTCCTCCGGCCTGTGATGTTTGTTTAAAGAGTAATTTCCCTCCTTTCTGTCGGTCGCATCCAGCGGCCTCCGGTCCGACATGAGCGCCTCCACGCTGAAAGGAAGACACGACACCTGCGCGCTGCGCTTCTTCAGCCGCGGTGGCTGCACATCCTCCTCTGTTGAACACTCGTCTCTGCAGTCTCCAGGGGAAGACATGCTTTCTTTCTTTCTTTTTTAGGGGGCCCCGGGATCGATATCTAATTCCAATCCAGAAAACACATAACTTTTTTTTTGTTTTTTTTTGTCACGGAGTGCAAACATGCGGCGTCCACAGGTTGGGAAACTCTAAGCAAGTCGTTACAAAGTTGACAAAGTTGGTGTTGGGAAAACTTTGGGAGGTACTCTGAACTTTCAGCCAATGATGGGTCTTGATCCCGGGGGTTGGGGGAAGACTTGTGATTGGACAGTGTGTTTGGGGCAGCTCTGGACGGGGTCTCCGCGGTGCCACCCCCCCAACTAGACAACCAGGTCAGCCAGCCTCATTTAGCAGTAATAACGCAGGGAGAAGATTGTTCCTTTAAAATAGCTCACAGTGTTTTATCATAATTACTGACAGTAACAGACGTATTTTATTCACTCTGCAAACTGCAAACCCTTTCGTTTACATTGAAAGCATGGGGAAATTGTCCTGCTTGATGTCCTAAATTATTGGAAAGGGATTTTGGATGAGACAGTGGGCTGGTATTTTGTGGGGGGGAAAAACCTACTAATATAAGTAAATCAATCCCCTGTGTGCTAAACTCTACTCCATCCTGCAATTAGGCTGGTAGATTGTCCTGGCTGTGTCTCCGAGCACCAGCAGCACCGGGGAAAAAGCATCAGCGTGACATCTGAAGAGCTGCACTTCCACTTAACAAAAGCTGACAGAGCTCCTAACTCAAGCCCCAACTCGCAGGACCTGACGCTCCAATTGTGGGAGCAATCACAATGGTGATCAATAAGAATCATGGTGCTTTTAAACTTCAGATATCACTCTGCAGCAACCACACACTTAAATGTGAGAGTCAGTATGGGTTTTAGGCAGGCTTTAAAATGACTGTCATTACATTGTTATTATTAACACCTTGTAATTAGGTCTGTGGAATCCGGTTCTTTTAAGCAGGATTTAACGGTAATGATGGAAAATTGCTACCTTCCTGAGGTGTGTGGCGCCCGCTGCGATTAGTCCCAGTCTCTGCTCTGTCGGTGGAGACAGAGGCGTCTCGTGCCTGTTTGAAGCTCATACCTGTAGGGCTCCAGAGTATTAGGAAACATCATGAGAAGTACAACAGCAGCTCTAGCCTTCCTAAACATAGCCTCTAACCGCTCACTGGTGGGATAAGGCCAAACGCAACGTCCTGAAAACCAGCCAAAGAGGGCATGGATGTTAAAACTGACATAGAGAGATGAACAGCAGAAGGTTTAATGTCATTCTGAGTGAGGTTTAATGCTCATTCAGCCGAGGAAAGACATGCACAGCAGCTGATGCAAAATTAATGTGCTTATTGCATGCTGTGTCCTTTAGGTTGCACCCAGTTTCTATCTATACTTGGTGTCTGTCTCCGCGTCTGCTGTGTGTCTCTCTCGTATACAGATGCCCACGCATACAAAGGCCACCTGTGAGGTGACTGCAGTGTGCTGTCCATAGCTCTGTGATCAGCCCTCAGAGAGACGATGTGCTCTCTGTAATCAGCGGGATTACAGTGGCATCAGGGGCTCGACTCCCCAGCGCCTCAACATCATTAGTCTCCATATGAAGCAGAGTGCTCACACAGCATGAGCTCACTCTCTTGTAAACACATGCAAATCAATTATGGGGCCAATCTGTCATTTCAGTGTGCTTCCTAAAGATGGGTGTATGGAGTGCGCGGACACGTGGGTGTGAGTGTGTGTGCACATGTTTTGGAAATGTAAACAAAACTGAAGAATTTAGTTGTAGTTGAGAGTAGTTGGAAACATTTAGCTACAGGCTAATAACAACAACTACATTTCTGTAGAATCCAGAAGCTGGAAAAATGGGGTAACAAACAGCAAGATAGTTGGTTTTAGGTGTATAATGGTACAAAGATGGGGATTCAAGGTTGTTTAATCGCCATTTACAAAGCAGGGTTCTGTAATGAAAAGAGGTTTAGTTATCTTTATGCTACCCTGTGAAAACTAAAATATATATACAAAAATGGTTTAAAGTTGATTAATAAGTCATAAAATACTATTTAGCCTCACAACCCGAGGGAAGAAGCTGCCTGGTGGCCCGGCAGCGGAAGCTTCTGTACCTCTTCCCAGATGGCAGCAGGGTGAGCGGGCTGTGACTAGGGTGTGTTCTGTCTTTTAGTGTTCTTCAGGCGCTGCACAGGCACCTCACCTCATTAATATCACTGATGCTAAGTAGTTAAGTACCAGTGATCTTCTGGGAGGTTTTATTCACTCGCTGCAGACGCCTCTTGTCCTGGGCCGTGCACATCCCATGCCAGTTTGAGATGTTTCAAGATGCTTTCTTACACTCCTGTTAACAAGAACTTGGCACAAAAATGTTGCTTGCTTAAGTTACCTTAAGAAATACAGTTGTTTCTGTGCTTTCTTAACCAGTATGGTAGTGTAATAGTAGTAACCAATGGTAGTGGTAATGTTAGAAAACTGTAACTTAAAATCATAAATATCAATAAACATAATGTTGAACATTATGTTATGTTAAAAAACCCTGCCATCTTGCTTTATGTACTTTATAACATTGTTTTAAATCAGTAGTTAGCTAAAATGCATTGCCTTCTTATTCTAAAAAAGAACATACTCTATAATTCAAACTCTGTCTCATCACTTAAAAGCAGTTAAAGTATTGATGTGTTTTAGTTTAATTATCTAGTCTAATACACTTTCAGACAACTAGAAGCAGCCTGATTTTTAAATTTGAGTGACATCCAGCAGTGCATAACATGCCTCCAATGATCTTCCACCAGTGTAATATGTCTTTGTAATCTTTCCTCCAGTAACCAGGCCCAAATCGCTCGCTGCTGTCCACTGGTCTCTGCGCTGAGAGAGCTCCTGCTGGGTCTGTCTCTCATTGTGGGGAAAGACATACAGGGGAGGTCACTGGCAGAGCTGGGGCAACCTGACCATCCATGCAAAGGTTACAGAGTCAGAGTCTCTCCATATGGGGTAGAGCAGCAGCGGACCAGAGAGCTAACATCCTCAGCTCACATTGATTACCCCAAACACCAATTAGCACTGCTCTCTCTTCCACCTCACATCACCTGCATTACTTCCGCTAGCAACAATGAGGAGTACACGTACACTTAAATGTACACACACAGCTCCAATGTCTCCAACAGTACAATCTCTCCTACAGTGATCATAAACACTTTTATACTAAGATCCATACACTATTGGGAGGTTACATACATATATATTGATACCTTTTATTAATTCTCTATTATCTTTACAGGATGCAGACACCTAAATCATGAGTCACGTGCTGCATATTCCTAAATACAAAATCTTAGGCCTTTGTCCACAACTATTTGGAAAATATGCTAACCTTCCACACAATTTTTCTAAGTGAGGGTTTCATCTACTTCAGCCATAGCGTTGTTTCCAGGACATGCGTCATCACGTTCAAGCACACTAAAATACTGCTACACAAAGCAACCCAGACTTTTGCACTATAGCCATCACAGGACAATCAAGACAGAATCAATATTTCATCTGGAGACAGTCAAACTAAACTACCCATAAAAACAGAAAGGCACAACCACGGACAACTTCAAGATAACTGATGTTTAATGTTGTTTTAAGTATAGAGTAAGATGAATTACAGCTAAAAGTAAAATGAGCTTTTAAGATGTTTTCCCAAAAGAGAGGAGTTTATTTGGGGTGCATTTTGGCCTGCAAGCCTTCAGATGAGTCCTGTGTTATGAGGCTGACACCCACCACTCCCAAAACTGTTTATTTACTTAAGCAGTGTGGTTAGAGTGTGCTTTCTTAAACTGCAGTCTTGTTCTACATATTAATGTGCCTCTCTACAATAACACATTTCCTACATCAACAGTCAAAAGCACAGAGAAGAAGAGAAGAGTATAATCAGTTTGCCCCCTAAAGCGGATTTAAATTAAATGTCACAAGTTGAACTCCGACAAGGATCCGTGGTGGGAACTGATTAGGCTTTTGCGAGTATAATTTTTCCAGACGTTGCCTTCAAATGAAAATGATACAGTCATTTAGTCTAGCACTATCACAACTGAACTGAAACAAAAGTATTAGCTCTGAAGTATAGTACTAAATGCAAATTAAATCAATGCAAAAGACATTGACATTGTCTTTATTAGGGATGTAACAATATATCGCAGGAAAAAGGTAAATCGCAATTCAAATATGTGAAGATTATAATCATTGGGTTAAAAAATGAAACATCACAACAGCAGAGGGCGCTATCTACTTTTGACTTTGCTTGTCTGATGTTCTACGTCGGCCTATCGACGCGCAAAGACATCGCAGCTGCAGGTGAAGACTGTGAAATTGAGGATGCATCATCCTGTTTAAAATCTGAAGATTTGGCAGCTGTTTGGCTTCAGAAAATGAAAAAGGTAAGAAGATAACTGACAAGACGTGGAAAGAGAAATGAGGCCGATTTTCCTTGGTTGACAACAGGTTTATATTTTCAGTTTCACCTTTACAAAGAAAAAGAAGCACGCTTTGTTTTTCACAGTTTATACCCTTCCTCAGCAATAAAAAAGGAGATGAGATGAGTGTATCATTACATCACTATTCTTTATTTTAATGTAAGTTGCGAGGACAAAGGGGAACCCAGCTTCGATCTGAGAGAGTAATTATCTCTTGGGATGCTGAAAGTGGTCAAACGTGTTTCTCATTATCGCTTCTTCAGGCCCCACAGCGGATGCAATTATTACTTCATGGTTAGTTGAAGGATCTTTCAGTGCTTCATTGTGTTTCGACACACTGTGAAGCAAGTGAGATTCTAATATTCAAACAGCCAAAACAAATTAAATTAAAGCTGCAAGCAGCGTTGGGCGGGCCCTCGCACTCCACGCAACTCGGGGCATGCTGCGGCCGCGTCACGTGCAACGGTGCGGACACAACTGAAATTTCAAGTAATCAGATCAAGTCTATGCAAGCGCTTACTTCCTGTTGGACAGTAGGTGGCGCTATATTATATCTGAATATCGTCATGTAGACATGTTCAGCGGGGGACT